TCCAGGAGGTGCGTGCACGTCGGTGCTCCCTCCATCCATGTGCATGCGTGTGCATGTGTGTGACTGCGTGTGCAGACAGGATTCACGTGTGTACACGCTTCTTTACTCCGTCTACCTCTGGTTCCAGGGGCGTTTACCCATCGGGCCACGGCACCCCGGTTGCCAGGACCCCCACCTCCCAGTTATGGGCACGCACATCTCGGGGGCCCCACCCGCCCATGCCCTGCATCACCCCGTCTCCCTGCAGGGTCGTCATGCTGAGCCTGGAGTTCGACTACACGTGCCAGTACGACTACATCGAGGTCCGGGACGGGGACAGCAGCTCCAGCCGGGTCATTAAGCGCTTCTGCGGCAACGAGCGGCCGGCCCCCCTCCGGAGCACGGGCGCTACGCTGCATGTCCTCTTCCATTCCGACGGCTCCAAGAACTTCGACGGCTTCCACGCCATCTTCGAGGAGGTCACAGGTGAGGCCCTGAAGGCCCACGCGGCATTTCCGGCCAGCTTCCCGCCCGGCCTCGGAGACGAGGCAGGCTGTGCTCGTGTCTCAGAGCCGACCAATCGGCTCTCCGCAGATGGGGGGCTGCCATGCAGAGGCTGCTGGCCGGCCAGGGTACGAGCTGGGGCCAGAGCCGGGGTCAGACCTGAGCTGTGGCCTTGGAGCAGCTCGCGTGGCCCTCATGGTGACAGCCCTGGCTGCCTAAGCTGTGTGGCCGCGGGTGAGCTCCCCTGCCTCTCCGGGTCTCAGTTCCCTAATCGGTGACCAGTGATGGCCAGCTTGCTGCACGGGCGTGAGGGCCGCCTTTTCTCTCCCAGCATGTTCCTCATCCCCCTGTCTCCATGACGGCACGTGTCTCCTGGACAAAACCGGGTCTTTCACGTGTGCCTGCCTGGCAGGCTACACTGGATCACGCTGTGAGAGCGGTGAGTGCCGGGGCCGGCAGGGAGGGTGGGCCTGTGCAGGGCCTGTGGCCTCTGTGTCCAGGGTGGCTGAACGCGGTGCCGAGCGGGTCTCAGGAGGGCTGGGGTACTCCTGGGCTGCATGGCTGGGCCACCTGGGATTGCCCGACATGTCCAGCCCTACTTACCGCCTGGACCGCTCAAGGACACGTGACCCTGAATAACATGCGGAGTTCCACGCCCACACAGACGGCCACCACCTGTGCCGCCCATGCCGTTAGCACCTGCTGTCTCGGGTCCGGGTCGAGCCTTCTGTTCCTGGTCCCCAGACTGCGCTGTTCACGGCACAGGCTGGTCTGCATCGAGCTTGGCCAACGTGCCGGTGACCCTAGCTCCAGGCCCAGTTTGCCTCGTCTGGGCCCTCTTTCCTCATGAGCTGTCCTGATTGGGTGGCCAGTTACATGGTCATCCCAGCAGATTCAAAACCAGAGCCGGAACCCCGCCCTCCCACAGTCCGGGGCCACTCAGACATGGTTCTCACCACAGGGCTCCTGAGGCTCTGGGTGATTGGCAGTGAGCTCTGCTCCCCGCCAGTCACTCAGCATGTCCCCTCCAAGGCCATCCCTCCCGGTGAGACCCTCTGCTGTCCCTCCCCGGGAGCCCTGCTGCCTGTCTCTGGTACAAGCCGTTCTCCCGTCTATGTGGGGCAGAGGGCAAGGCGTGGGCTTCCTGCTTGCAGAGGAGAGGTGCATATTCCTGACCCAGATGCAGACAGCACAGAGGGTGGGAGACAGCGTGGGCATCGTCGCCGAGCAGTCCTGGTGCCGAGAACCACATGGGCGACGCGGTGTGTCCGTCCAGGCTTTCCTCTGCAGTGTCCAGCCTCAGTTGTCTGAGCGCCATTGCCCTAACCCGGGGTCCTCACCTGGGGGACTTTGCTCCATCCCACCCTGGGACATGCCTCACTGTCCCGAAGAGCGCTGGTCATTGTAATTGTGGGGAAGAAGGTCGCACGGCCGGCCCTCGTGGGCAGCGTCAGGGCTGTCCAGCCCGCTCACTTGGTGCCTGGGGAGGGGGCCTCACCACAGCCATGCTGTGACACTAAGGGAGACTTGTAGGTTGCTGCTTTTCAGCGCCAGGCCATGGGTGCCCCCCAGGTCAGCGTGTGTAGGTATGCCTCACCAGACACGACCACTGGGTATCCCCGTGTGGGTGAACGTACACCCAGCTCGTTAGCCGAACTTACTGTGGTTTTGGAGCACTACGATAAATACGGGGGCGGGGGTCTTCCCAAGCTTGTGGGCGGCCAACCTGCAGCCTATCGGTGAAGGGAGCTGGATCCCACACGGCTGCCGTCCGGGTCTGGCCCTGGGGACTTGAAAACCACACCCGGGCGTGTGTGCATGTGTACCCAATGTCCCAGTGGGTCGAGACATGGAGAAGGAGAGGGACTGCAGTGCGAGCACGCCTCCGGGGACACCTCTGGCCCACGTCTTTTTCTGCTGAGCTTGCCTACCCTCTGGCAATAATAAAAACATTTGCGTAAGTAAGCTGCATGTCAGGAAGACCGTGCGTGGGCTTCAGCATCCTTGTGCCTGCAATGAGCTGGCCCTTTCGTTCCACTTTTGCCATGAGCTTGTGGAAGTCCCCTCGTGCTTCTGTGCAGAGACACTTCTGTAAGAGGAATTCTGGGACGCTGCACCGACAGCTCCAAGTGTCCGTCGTATGAGCCGCAGTGTTACTGCAGGGTCACCGCCAGGTCTCCCTGACTTACAGACGAGCTGTCCTGGAAACGCCAGCCCCCAGGACACGACCGGGACTGGGGGCTCAGGAAGGAGCAGCTGCTCTCATCCGGAGTGTCTATTTCTGGAGCAAGCCCGTGGGCGTAGAGGTTTCTTGCTCCGACTTGGTGGGGCAGTGGAGGGTGAGGGAGTGTGCAGGGGCTTGGCCTCTGCCCTTGGGCAGGCCTGCAGTGCACCCCACTCCCTGCACTGCTTCCCGAGGAGAGGTGCTCTCCCTGCCCCCAAGTGACCGCTCTGGAAGTGAGAATGGGAACGGCCAAGCCAGCCTCTGCTGGCACCCGCGGTGACCTCAGCCTCCTGGGCCACCGTGTAAGAAGCCGGGCCCTCTTTCCTCTGCGTTTCCTGTCCCTTTGTGTGGAGCACAGCGACGGGACAGTCCCCAGTGAACGGGCAGCGCCTGTTCTGGAAAGTGGGGCCGGGGCGCACCGCCCACTCCTGTCTCCACGGCGCTCTGTTCCTTGGCCCAGTTGCTGGGCCGGGCCCCCACCTGCATCCCAATGAGCCCGGTGAGACACCAAGTCCTGGCCTGGTGCGCCCCAGCTCTAAGGGCCCGAGAGCAAAGCCTTGGCCTCCGCCAATCAGAGAGGGCGTGAATCTGGCTGCGCTTGGGGCCTGCGTCTCAGGAGGCTTCCTGTGCCTGCCCTGAGGCCCGGGAGGAAAGGTCCCAGCTGGGGCAAGGCCCTGTACGCCGCAACTTCAAAGGGTGACCGCGCTGGTCCTTGGAACGCGATCAGGGACTCTGGGCTCTTGGAAACCCTGGCCTGACCGCCACAAGGAGCCCAGGGCGATGTGGTCCCTCCTCAGACAGGCTAGGGTTGCAGGCCCAGCTCACTCTCTCGGGCGAGCCTTTGAAAATAATGAGTGACGTTGCTCAGCTTGGAGACCTGCTTCCCTGAGGACACCGGGGCAGGTGCATCGTGGTCCCTCCTGAGCTGGTCAGCGCAGGTGAGGGTCTGAAATCTGGGGCCAGGAAGCCGTCAGTTTGACACTCGGTCTGTGCGTTACTGACCTGAACCATGGTTACAGCAGTGAGCCTGTCTCCGCGCGTAAAATCAGGACAGTCACACCCAGTGCCTCTCAGGACTGTGGGGAGGCGTGAGGGGATGCTGAGTCGAGTAACAGATTCATTGTTCCTTTTTTTTTTTCCCCCATTTTTTTTGCTATAGAGCTTATGTGCTCACTTGAGAGAGAGAGAGAGTGGGAATTCACCCCCTGGGAGGAGGGCCATGCCTGTTCCTCTCCTCCCTTCTCTCAGGACTTTGGGCAAATATACACACATGTCCGCACCACACCACCGGCGGGCCGGAGGAGCCGCGTTCTCACTTACCCTCCCGGCCTTCTATTCTGGGCGTCTGAGTGTCTGCTGGGAGGCAGGGCGTTCTGTGGGCCCAGAGTTAGAGCGACACCGGCTCCTGCCCCATTCTCGGTCCCAGTCTGGAGAACTCTTCCCGCAGTTAGGGTGTCTGAACTGGCCTGCCCACGATGTTGCCGGACTCGAAGTACGGCTGGGCGGGGTGCAGGCGAGAGAGCCAGCGTTAAGACAAGCAGCCCGGCTGGCGGTGTTTTGTTGGGAAGTCTCCAGATCCCAGGAGAGCCCTCCGGATGTGCAGGGAGGGGGGCTGCAGCCAGGGTGGCTGTGCTGTTAGATGTGGGAGTGGGTGGCAGGGCGGCTGGGCTGTTAGATGCAGGAGTGGATGGCAGGGAGACTGGGTTCGGACCTCCGTGCGGCTAGGCTGTTAGGTGCGGGAGTGGGTAGCAGGGCTGCTGGGCTTGGACCTCCGTGGGAGTGGGTGGCAGGGCGGCTGGGCTGTTAGATATGGGAGTGGATGGCAGGGCGGCTGGGCTGTTAGATACAGGAGTGGATGGCAGGGTGGCTGAGCTCGGACCTCCAGTGCAGGGTCCTGGCGAGCCGTGCCATCCGATGGCCTCTCCCCCAGGAGTCAGCGGTCGCTGTGGGGTGTTGGTGGTCTCATGTCGGCCCCTTACAGCCCTTCTGGAGACCAAGGCTTCAGAGCCCACTCGACTGTGGGAGGGCTGAACAGAGGGCAGTACACTGTCTGGCCTCGGCGGTGCGAGAGCCACAGGCACTGCCCACAGGCCCCTGATGACCCAGTAGCCGGAGGAGCCCCAGGGAGGTCGCTGCCTGATAGGCTGCTAAGTCCTCTCGGGAAGCCTGGCACCCGCCCTGCGCCTTCCCGGACAAGGCAGTGAGCCCGGCCCCTTTCTGGTGGACTCAGAGAGCTGCCACCTGTCTGCGCGCAGTCACCGAAGGCAGCTGCCCCCGACGGTGGCCAGGTCGCGTGCTTGCTTTATTTATGGATCTGTTTTTCTATTTTGCCAGAGGGTGAATGCACTAGCCAGAGAGAGAGAGACAGAGAGGGAGAGGACCTCGCACCCCCGTGGGGATGGTCTGGCCACGGTCCTTCTCCCTGTGTGTGTCCTAGTGGGACTTGGGGCATGCGCACGCAGGTTTGGCAGGTTTCCGAGTTCTAGGGCCAGAAATTGAACTGTGCCGTCCCCCACCGGACGGGCCTGGGGACGTGAGTCACAGCGGGAGGAGACTTGGCAGAAGTCTTCCCACTAAACTCAGGGACTTCATGTTTCCATGCCACCAGTCACCGGCTTCAGGCGACTCTGGGGTGGCACGCTGGCGCCATGCCCAGGACCGTCCTCGAAGCCTGCGGTGCCGGCTCTCAGTAGCAGGTGCTGTCAGGGAAGCCGAGCATGGGTGCCCCGGCTGGCAGATGTGCTGGAACCTGGCCGGGCCCGTTGTGTTCGCTGCAGGAGCCACTGAGCATCGCCACAGTGTGCCGTGGGGTGGCGCGGGGACCCACGGCAGACGCCATCCTGAGGAGAGCAGGAACCGGGCAGAGCCGGTGCCTCTTTGTTGATCTGAAACAGCATCACAAACACGTGTACCTCTGGCACGGTCCTCGTCCCCACGCCTCACAGAGGCTGGGCGCCGCGGGCCCACACGCCACTGATGATTAGTTGCGGATACTTTACCTGGCCAAGCAGGAGCTCGGAGCACCTCAGCCAGAGACGCGGGTGTTCAATTTCTCACTTGCCCCCGTGTGAAAACCAGTCCACGGCGGAGATCTGAGACATGCAGTCCACGAGAAACCAGCTGGGAAGACGCGTGAGTCTGCTCGGTGGGGAGACGAGGAGGCTCCTGAAAGAACACGGGAAGTCCGTGGGAAATCTCGTCGCGGCAGGTAGACA